GACCACACGTCAATGGATGTAGAGTATTGTCTTGATCCCATAAGAACGTCCGGTGCGCGATACCACAATGTTACTACCTTTTATTATTTTATTTAATCAATCAATGTTTCGGACGGTACTGGATTAAGATCTGTAGCAACAAACCTCGTGTGAATAACTTCGCACCGGAATCCCAAAAGCCCGCGCAAGACCAAAATCAGCCAGTTTTAACTCCCATTTCTATGCCAAGAAAAAAAATTATTATTATTATTTGGATTTACAAGATTTCGAATAATGCTCAAAAAATCTAAGACGAATGGCCAACCTTGTTGATTAATAAATTCTGTGGTTTAAGGTCCTATGTTCAAATGATAGAGGTTAAAATGATAACGAATCAACAAATTATAACTTCGTGCAACTCGTAACATAATATTACCCTATGCAGAACTCGATGTTCATGACAATATGCGATCCCTTTCAACAGTTGATACATTAATTGCTATCGAATAGATATTGAAAATCCATTTAAGAAATATTTTTGCATTATTAAGAAACATCGAAAGTTTCTATTAAATACTCACCTTAATCATCGGCACCTCCAGATCACCTCCGTGAGTATCTAAGAATTTCTTTAGATCCGAATCCAAATATTCAAATACTAATGTAAGCTTCTTTTCCGTATGTAAGACATCATATAGTCTTAATTGTACATGCATTTTATAAATTAATCCCATAACACAAGAGAAATGGAGATACAAAAGGAGATGACCGAAAAGTTACCTTACTATGTTTGCATGCTTTAACTCCTTCAACAATGATATCTCGCGAATCGCTGTACATGGAACCTGAAATGACAGGAGAGGTTTATTTTAACACATTCGAATATGATGAGTAACGAAGATTCGATTTTAATGATGAATTATTTTTACAATTATATCGAATTTTGATTCGAATTTTTACCCCTTCCTCCTCGTTATCTAATCTTATACGTTTCAAAGCAACCACTTCATTTGTCTCTCTATTCTGTGCCTTATAAACGATACCGTACGTTCCTTATTACAAGCAAAATAAGCGAAAAGTTTAGTAAATAAAATAATAAAAAAAATGTAAATATCTATCGCTAAAGAATTCACTCGAAAGACGGTAAAACCTTCTCCAAGCTTTTCAATTTTCTGTCAAAGACACGAAGATACATGAAATAAGCCTTCAATAAAAAGAAATAAAAACTGCAAAAATATAAAAGAGCTTACCTGATATTTATCCATTACAAATCGCGATTGAGTTCAATTACGTTGACTTTTGAGAATGGTTTGTTTATATTATGATGCTCTCACAATCCACTAAATTAGTAGACTCTAAAATAACAATGTGCTACATGCCACTTGTAGATCAAGGAGTGGAATTTCGATCGCGTGATTACATTGTATTATTCTAATTAATAAGTATATTATAATA